GACCTAAAGCGTCCCAGGCTAGTTTGGGAGTATGGGCAGATTTCTGAGCTGGTAGATGTTTTATTTTAATCTGCAAGGATAACTGAAGGCCAAGTCAGCCAGGGGTCCCACACACCATTCAAGATAAGAACACATCTGATTTGGCAGGAGCTACTCTTGGTGGTGGCCCAACGTGGGTCCCGCTGCCTTCATTACTTGGGGACTGCGGTCCTGCCTCGTGCTGGCATGGGGTGGCGGCGGCGTCAGACAGTGAGACACTGAGTCGTGAGGGAGCTCTTACCGTCCTGCACTTGGTCTGTGCACATGGATGAAACACGTTCAGTGGAATCAAAGAATGGGGGGTGGGGAACGGTGGGGAGGTGGAGGGGCGGGCTTCTCTCTCATGTCTACCCCAACCCAAAACATCACGCAAGAGCCCCGAAACCAAACCACAAAACACCACGGGATGGGAGGCCGAGAAGCAGGACCCAGGAAACACAATAATTAAATAATACAATGAAGGCTTAAATTTCCAAATTGATTCTTGGGTATCATTTATAAAAGTTAACAGGGCATATTTAATTTAGGAATTGGCTCACATCCTTCTCCTTACAGCTGAAACCTCATAAATGAAATATACTGGATCAGTGCCCAGTGCGGAAATAAAAGTTATGAATAATGTTTCTATCTCAATCATTGTCAGTGCTTTAATATTCCTAATTACGTTAAAAAGCTAGATATTCAATATAGGAAAACTTTTTTTCTTTTTATCTCCACTTGTGAGATTAGCGCAATTTAATAACAGTCACTCTGTCGTCTTTATTCAGTGTAAACTGACATTTCATCCTTTTACTCCTCGTTATTATATGGGATGGAGGTTTATGACCAAGCACGCAGCACTGCACTTCCCTGTAGCAGTCCTTCTGACACCTCGGAATTATCCACAATAGCTCATGTGCCTGTTTGCCAGGCAAATCAGCAACACCTCTCTTTATGGAGAAAAAATTTAGTCCAGGCCTTAAGGAAATTAGGCTATGGGGTTGTCAGTCTGGAAAAGAAGGAAAATTCTCCCACCCCACCCCAGGACTAGATCTGTCCCCTTCACAACTGTCAAAGTCATAAATCCCTCGGCAGCCACGAAGGGCAGAGCAGGGCAGGCGGTAGGAATGATGGATCTTTATAACCCTCTTGCTTCTTTCAGGAATGTATCCTAGGAAGAAATCGGGACAAATGGGCAAAGATATATGCACGAGAAGAATCACTGTAGCATTTTTTTTTTTTTACACAGGGCCACAGTCCCTTGCCCACAATCCAAAAATCCCTAAAAAGCCCAAAAGAAAAATTGCTTTAAAGTTCAGCACCAAAATTCATTTAGAGGCCAGATCTTCCTGGAACTGATTCATGGTTATGCATCGCCTTGATGTCACTAGATGGAATTAGTCCTATTCAGAAATATTACTATGTCTCATCCCAGGGTGCTGCCCAGACCCCTCTGGGGGTAATACGTCATATATGTAGAGTCACCACCCACGTTTCTAAACTCTGAAAAAAATTGAAATTCTGAAATCAACAAGCCCCAAGGACCCTGAATACAGGATGGTGGGGCCTTACAATAGTGAAAACCCCCAAAACAACTTAAAAGCCCATCAACAAGAGACCGGTCAAATACCTCTGGTAATCCACAGGAGAAAACTCTATAAAGGTCTTAAAAAATTTAAAGGGAGATTCATGTTTATTGACAAAGATATCAGTGCATGACATAAAGTTAAATTTAAAAAGCAAGTTGCAGAACAGCACTAGACATGATCTAATTCATAAAAGTTGTATCCAGACGTAGCTCTCAGTGCAAATATGTAGAGAAATGACAGGGAGGGCAACCACCCAGATGCGGGTGTGTGTGTTTCTAACCTTTTTGTAGGATTCTTGTGTGGTTTGGAGTTTCTTTTTAACATGAACAGGCGTGATTTTAGAATCAGAAAAACAACAACAATGATGCTTTTTTAAACAAAAATCCAAGCTTCCCTGCAAGGGGATCATATGTATAGACATGTACATGGGCAGCTCCCATTCAGAAATCTCCAGAGGTACACACTGCATGGACCAGGACACCCATCCCCATGGGCACGGGCCCCAAAGATCCTAAGGCACACTCAAGCAGACAGCATCCAGCGGCACGGCACGCTAGCAAGCAGGCTCAAATTGCTTGGACTACCCCTGGTCACAGTTTGTGTCCTGTGGCTGATTCATCTACCTCCACAGTAGGATCTCGGGACCACATATTCCAAGCGGATCCTTCTTCCTCCTGTGAGCAACAGAGTCTTCTCATCAAAGACCTATTTTGACCTTAGGCTGTATGAGTAGAGGTTGAACATCTAGAGGAAGAATGTGATCATTAAGAGGTCAGGTTTGGGACTCAGGTGTTTGCTTGGTGGACAGTCCCAGTTTCACCATTTACTAGCTGTGTGTCTGTGCAAAGTTTGTTCTCATCTGTAAATGGGGCTAATAATAATTCCTATTCCATAGGGTTGTTGTGGAGATTAAGTGAGAAGGTAACTGGAGTGCCTAGTGCATCATAAAATTCAATAAACAGTATCTACTTCTATTACTATTTTTCCATACCAGCCTACAGTTGTGTGGTCATACCTAGGAATGATAGTTTAAGAGGACCAAAGGCCACCAGCCAACGGAGAGGAACCAGACGGGGAAGGCAGATCAGACCACATCAGGCGAGAAACAAAGGAGCTTAGAGAATAAAAACTTGGGGAAGGAAGTGATCGCTGTCTTCTAATACCCAAAGGGCTGAGCCGTGGAAGGGGACCCCGGTTTCTTCTATGCAGCCCCAGTGGTTATTATCAACTACTCTTTGATGAACATCTTCCCGTACCCAGTCCATGGCCTCGTCCACTGATCTCCTTGGGAGAAATTCCAGACGTGGTGAGGAGAGTCATGGCGATCCATCAACCTGCTCTGGACTTTATCATGAGTAAGACCCAACTGGTGAATCCTTGAGACAGATTTCCACTTAATAGAAGGAGAAGCTTTCCAACAGTCAGGACATACTTTCACAAGAGGCAGTGAGCTCCTTGTGAATGGAGGGACTCACGCAGAAGTGGGAAGGCTCTTGGTGACATCTAAGCTTTTGGTGCTCTGAATGATTTTGAACGGGAGAGTTTATGAATTCCTTTCATTCAATGTTGGTTCCGGCAGAGGGTTGGAACCCATCTTTCGGGACTTCCTATGGGTTCAGTAGTACATGCCTTTGAGTCGACTTAGGGATGGTGGCTCTTCAGGCCATGAAAATGGATTTAATTCAGGAAACAGCTCACCACGGAGTCTGATGGCTGAATTGGGGGTGGCGGAAATTAGGCAGTCCCGTGTTATACTGGCAGCTAGCAAGGCCATTTCCCTGTCTGTTTGGTAAACTCACTCTAGGGGCAAGATTTACTCTAAACTGCCCAGTCCTGCTCAATCAAGTGCCACCTTCATTCCATTTCTTTCACAGAAGGGAAACCCTGAAAGACACAGACCATGTCGAAAAGACCCTCCAGGGCCCACCCCAGGCCTGGCACAGTCTAGCATAGAGACAGCACCACACGCACTTGCACTGGTCGGTGGTTTATATGCACTCAGGGCCCCCGAGACTCAGGCTGTATTTCTAACCTCCAACAGGCTGCCCTTGACATTATGATCCAGCACGCAGCAAGCAGACCTGTCCCTGCAAGGCCCCCCTAATCCAAGTCAGTTCTCCGTCAAGCATTCGTGGTGAGCAAAGTTACATAACACAAAACGTGGACGGGAGGTGGGGGAGGACAAGCTCCTGAACATTCTAGCCCACATGTTTCCTGTGGTCCACAGAAAGACTGGTGTAACACATTCCCTTACCTCCCTCAAGTTTACTTTTCGATGTCTGGAGGAATCCCTGGCCCCGTTGCTCAGCGTGGCCCACCTCAAAGCAGTGAAACAGGTGGGAGGCAGAGGCTACTGAGGCCCCAGTGCATCGAAGAGTTTCCCGAGTCCCCCAAAACAGATCCCAGACTCCTTGAGCCAAGATAACCTCCCAGGCTCAAAACAAAACCACATCCAATAGCCTTGCTGGGGGGTATGTCCTCATGTAATGGGTAGACAGGGAAGCTCCGGCCAAGGCCCTTGGGAAAAAGGACCGTAACTAGATGTTTCCACCCCAGCAGAGACAGCGGAAAAGGGCAAGAGCACCACACTGGACCACCATGGACCCACCATTCCCTTCTTCAAGTTTTCATAACCATCACAGTTACGTTGGGACTGGAAACAGAGAGGTGGCTCCCAAAGATGGGGAAATGCTGGGGGTTAGACCCCAATAGATCAGCTTAGATATGTTATCTACTCAAATCACAATAAAAAAGACGCTCTACCCCAGCTCAAAGCAGGAAGAAAACTGGGCTTCAACACTAATCAAAGCCTAATTGAAAATCCCATAAAACCATAATGTTGACCAACCATTGACTGCAAAATGCGCCAGCGGAAAGAGATTCATCTGTGAGCATTTAGGGGAAATGAGTCAGAAGAGCAAGAGTTGTCTTCAGCTGGGTTCTTGGCAGAGAATTCCTCGAGCAGCTGCTAGGTGCACCCCACCCTCTCGGTGGCCAGCCCCACAGCAGATGTGATGCCCCACGCTGCTATGGATGGCAGCAATCTCTGGCCCTGTCTGTCGGTCCCAAGAGCATCTCAATTTCACTTTGACCCTTAAAAGACCATATCCAGAGGTGTTCCATCAAGTCAGAGTTGTACAAATACTCCACAGTTCCCAACAAATGCAATGCACAATGCTCCTCCAGACCCCCACAAACCATGACTCCCCATGCCCCTGGAGGCTTCCACCCCAAGTATCACTATGTAAATGCAGGGATGCCTCCTCCCTAATGTCCACACCCACCTGGGCTGCCCCAGGCCAACACAAAGAATTCAGAATGTACACGGCACGCCCCCCCCCACCCCAAGCCACAGCCAAGGGACCTCCTGGCCCCCAAAGACCCCAGACTCACCGCTGGAACAGTCGGGCCCTCCCCAGCCGGGCTCACAGTGGCAGGTGTCTGGGGAAACACAGCGGCCATGCACACACTCCTCCGTACACAGGGCTGCAGGGGGCCGGCAGAGAGGGAGGAAGCACAGGAACAGACAGTGAAAACCAACCATCTGGTCAAAGAGCATAAACCACTTTGTAATGATCTCCTGGGGCCCAGGACTGCTCAGAATGCATCACTGGCTTTGGGGAAAATCAAGCTACTCCTGACCCGTGTCATTTAATTAACTCTGAAATGGATCCAACAAGAGTGTGCTTCATCCCAGCCTCATTTCCTAAAAGGAAACCCAAGCCCAAGAAAGGGCAGCCTTAGCTTTTCAAGAACATTCTCTCCAAGATTTAACACTTGGAGACCCTCCACAAACCCCAGCCCTAAATCCACACTCCTGCTCTCTTTCCCACAAGCTCAGGAAGTGACCTGTCATGTCCATCTTTTGCTTTTCCCGGTTTCTTTCTACAAAGGCCCCGAAATTTATCAGGTTGCCTGCAAAGAACAGGTTCCTCTCCCGTTTCCCCCACCTTTCAGCTCTCCTCCCCAAATGCCCCTATTTTGGGGCTCTCAAATGTCAGCAAATCTGCAAAGTACACAAATGCTGAGGAAAAAGCAACAGCTAATTATAAGAAAGTAATTAAGAGAGACATCTACGATGATGATAATTGTAATTAGAAAGTGCCTGGCAATTTCTTATCACGCAGTCAAACGCTATAGCCTCCTGAGCCGGGAGGCAGCGGTGGCAAAGTTTCCATCTACTTCCTCCAGCTCCGAGAAGGCTTACTGGCAGCAGTTTGAGGAAGGGGGATTATTTCTCTCTTCCTCTGACATCTACACGTTCTCAAGGTCGTCCTCTACTCCTGAGAGATCTGCCCCACCATCTAATCCATCAGTGAAGGATTAGAGAAAACCCCCATTTTGCCACCCAGGCCAATTTTGTAAGCTCGGGAAATCAGCAACTACCATCGACCCTGTCAATTTCTTAGACAGGATCTAGATGAAGGGCTTTTTTCTGACAAGCAATGAGAGACCTTCTCTCCGCCTGGAACTGGCCTGGGTGGGGGGCAACAGGCGGCCCCCAGTCCTGAGTCCTGACGGACAACCACTGACCTCCAAACACCCACTCTACTCCCATGTCCACTGCCTGGTCTGAACACCCACCTAGAGGCCACGGTCAGGTTAGACAACAAAGTCCATTTTATGGTCAGTGTGATGCTGATGGTGAAGCCATTGCCTTGGCTTTGCCCAAGCCCCCATGCAAAGGCACCCAGAAGAGCCATGTCAGATGCCCGACTGACTGGTCAGTGGTCTGCAGTCAGCCTGCCCTCTCCAGGCCTCGCTGTGGTATATCAGGGGAGGGCCCCAGCACCCATGTCCTTCGCATTTGGGCAGGTGGCTCTCAGGGAAGGTTCTGGTCTGTGAAGTTTTCCACCGCCCCGGAGCTTCGGGGAGTGGCAGGGGGCCCACCAGCTAACCCAGTTCTCGCTGGGGAACTGGGTTGGCCCCTGGCTCCGGCGACCAGCTCCACTTAGAGCCGCAGTGAGCTGCTCACCCAGCTGCTGGCAAGACCTCGTCTGACCATGCCTGCTTTCCCGGCTCTTTCTGCTCTGCTGGACGTTCTAAACAAACTCAAACGGGTGAGTGTGCCCAGAACACACCGGACACGAGATGTCCATCCCCAGGCTCCCCGTCAGAGGCCAGCACCTCAGCCCAGCCAGCTCCAAGCCCTGGCCTCAGCTGCTTCTTTCCCCCATCTGCACCCCCATAGGCTGAGGTCCCCGCATGGTTTACTGCTGGGTCCCTCCCATCAGCTTGTCAGATTAGCTCAAGACACCTCCGCTGCTTTCTCACAGCACACCTTGATCCCCGGGGGCTCTGCTGGGGGCCAGTGAGAGCAGACAGTGAACAATGAACCTGCCAACTATCAGGGCTGGAAGAGACCTCAGAGAAAATCATGTCCAACCCCTTCATTTTATGCACGGAGAAACGGAGGCCCAAGTGTTTGTGAGCTCGTGGACAGAGTGTGGTCTCCTTGGCCTGGAGGGAAGGAGCTTGGGGATGAGCTTCCTGAAGGTAAAGGGAGGGAAGAGGTGCCCAAGACCACGGACCTTCAGCTCTCACCCACCTGGATGCCTTCCCAGCCCCGATGGCTAGGGGAGCCAGCCCAGAAGGACAGCGAGTGGGTGACCCCCAGGAGGGTGAGAGCTGAAGGCAGAAGCCAGAGAAGCTGCTTCAACTCACTGGGCGCCCTGCAGGGGGGCTGGGCAGGGGGCTCAGAACAGCTCAAGGGAGGAAGGATGAAGTACCCTGCCAACCATCGCCTCTCCCTGGCCCTTCTCACCCTAGGGACCTGACCACAGGCCTATCTCCTGCGCCCTCTCCCTAGCTGGAAGGGCAGGGCCTTCGGGTGCTCTGGGCAAGCTCCACACCACCTTTTCCCTTGGTCTCTGCCCCAAACCCCAGGGGTCCCCTAGGACAATCTGTCGAGCACCTCCCCCCAGCTCAGCCCTGTATCCAGCATGCTGGCTCCCAGTGACCTGATGTGCGGAGATGAGCCATCCCACAAAACCTGGGCCTAGCTCCAGGGATGTTGTTGCTGTCCCCGTGGTCCGTCCAGACCTCGTTATCCCCTTCCCCTCCTCATCACCCTGGGATTATGCCTGGGTGTTTTGCTTGTCAAAACCTCAATCCATTCATATTTCATAGGTGTTGCTTAGACAGTGTTGTTTGAAGCATGAAATACTGATAGCAAATATCTGAGGCTCAGATGGCCAGATGTGGCAACTGGGCCACCATGTGCTTATGGACCTGGTGGGGAGGGGATAGGACACAGGTGCCGTGAGGAAAGTCTCCTGAGGAGGAATGGAGGGGAGACCCAAGCTCCTCCCTGGGGCTGGGGTTCCTGACTCCTACCCCAGACCCTGCACTAGCCCAGAAGTGGGCAGCCCCTCTGCCAAGGGCTGGGGTATACGGGACCCCTGAGTTCTTTCTGACCCCAGCCCCCCATGCCAGCCGACCCCCCAGGAAGGGCTGAATTAGGGTTCTGCCACCCTGGCCTCCCTTTTCTCCGGCTCCTGTAATTCCCAACAGGGGCATTTCGTTGAGCCCTCTTCCCACTGCTGTCCCCCCAACTGCTGTTGGGGACATGCCCGCAGTGTGACTGAGGGCCAGCCACCTCCCTTCTCCCCGCCCCACTGAGCAATTTGAACCTCTGCTCTCTCAGCTTCCCACCACCTACCCTCCTGCCCCAGTCCTGCTCCCAACATCCGGGTGCCGGAGGTATCTTTAGTGAGAAGCAGCACAGCAAAGACTACACCAGAAAGCCGGGTCTGGACCCAGAGATGCCACTTAGTAGCTCTAGACCTCGGGCAAATTCACACCATCTCCATGTCAGTCCCCATCTGTTCAGTGGGGGGGACAGTGACAGGACGGGCCTCAGGCTGTGTGTGAGGATTATAGGAGTTGACAAAGCACCCAGAGCAGTGCCTGGGGTCTAGTAAGTACTGTGTGAGTCTTGCTATTGCTATTTAGTAGGGTATTCTCGGACTTGAGGCGAGGGCCTCCGCACACTAGCTGTCTCCATCTCTCCTTCACTGAGGCCCTACACACATGGATACATGGGGAGGTCTGTAGGGATCTGCAGATAAACCCTGGTCGGGGATGGTATGCTGGAGGGTGGCCTCGTCTCCAGCCCTGCAGGGGAGGCCAGGGTGGGAGACAATGTGATAACCTGAGTCTAAATTCCGTATGTGTCGATGACAATTACAGGACAATAAGCAAATTATCTAACCTCTTGTGCCTCAGTTTCTTCATCTGTAAAATGGGGACAATAATAGTACTTAACTCATGTGTTGTTGCAAAGATTTAATGAAATACATGTAAAATGCTAAGGCCGGGGCGCCTGGGTGGCTCAGTTGGTTAAGCGGCTGCCTTCGGCTCAGGTCATGATCCCGGGGTCCTGGAATCGAGCCCCGCGTCGGGCTCCCTGCTCAGTGGGGAGTCGGCTTCTCCCTCTCCCTCTGCCTGCCTCTCTGCCTACTTGTGCTCTCTCTCTGTCAAATAAATAAATAAAATCTTTAAAAAAAAAAAAATGCTAAGGCCAGTGCCTAGCATACAATACGTACTCAGTAAGCATGAGCTGCCCTGATTATTTACATGCACACACATACTCATACACACATACACATGCGTGCCCCATGCGGTCTGGACTTGATGTCTAAGCCAGCTGACGGCTGCTACCACGTATCACTGCTTCCTGTACATTACCATTTTCTGAACACCTACTACGTGCCAGGCCTCGGAACTTCCAACACGTGCTGTCTCCACTTCTGTCACAGGCCATCCCAGTACACCTTGACGGAGTTAGCAACATCAGCACCTGTCTCTCCTTTGTGAATCTCTGGAGTTTGGGAGGACAGAGGCCACTTCCTACTCACCCTTTTTAAGCTCTCATGCTGCCTGAAACAAAGCAGCTGTCTCAGTGTTGGTGGATCCCAAGGAGAGAGTCATCTGCTCCAGGAGAGAGACCCTGGAGCACATGCAGGGAGGGCCTGGCTATCTCCCCCGAGCTCGGCTTCAGAGCTCAGTCACAGAGAAGTCACCAGATCTCGGGGCCCTGCGCATTGGCTCAGGCGGTTTCTGGCCATGGGGGACCGGGGTGGCTGGGGATCTTGAGCAATGGCGCTGTGGGGTTTCAGAACAAGCCCAGCTACAGGTGGGAGGAGATCTGGGTTGGCGACCACCCGCATCCATCTCAAAGGTGTCAAGCATCCCACTTTCCTCTCCAGGCCCTGCAACTTCACCTACAAATCGAGACCAGACCAGATGAGATCTGCAAAGTCCCATTCAGCTAAGAATCATCAGGAGCTACCATCCTGCCCAGCCCTACCCCCTCCAGGAAATGCCTGCATCACTGCCGTTGCCCTAGTCCCACTTCCTGGCCCCCCCAGGAGCCCCCCCCCATGGCCTAGTAAACCTGTACTCTTGACATCACGGGACCCTGGTCTCTGTCCTCCATTCCTCTGGAAATGGCACTGGATTAGGAGGCAAGGAGACCTGAGTGG